CTGTCTCTTTAAAGTTTAAAACTGACCGACATGCTTCTTTGTTAGGGTTACTGACAGAATTCATTTGGACAAAAAAAATAAATTGTGCGGAGACTTTCTCATATAACTCGTTCTGTGTTGCCTTCATCACTTTCACGCACACGTTTACTCACAAGACAAATTCTGTATATATGACAACATGTCAAGGACCAAAGATCAGAGAACCGTCGGAGAGAGGGAGTGTGTGTGTGTGTCTGTGTATTAGTGTGTTTGACGGGGCTGGTAGTGGGAGAACATGACTCATTAGGTTCTTGAGCATCTTGAGCATCATACTGATGTCCATTCCCAGGTGTGTTATCTAATCCGAGTTTACAGTACACTGTACGTGGCCAGCATATGAAAAAGGTAGAAGGTACTTTACTTGATATTGCTGCTGCTTTACAATTTAGTGAAGCTTATGTGCCTCTCCACTGAGTGAGAAAACACCAAACTGATTTATTTTGAATAGTTGTGTCAAAAAACTGATGGGGCAGAGAGTAACTAGTAACGTTGTTGTTGTTTGTAGTTGTTTTGCACACAGCTAAGATATAAATAAGAAGATACCACAGGGCTGGTGTCTTGAATGTTGGATGCAGATAACCCTTCTGTGCTTCCAGGCTCTTTGATCCTGAAGAAATATGGATTTAGGCTCAACAACTTGTGAGAAATATAGACATGATTGCATGGTTCCTTGAGTTTCCTGTGTTTGCTTGCTGTGCTGTCCAGGGTTATTTTTCAGAAACTGGCTTTGAGCAACCTTACACGGAGGGAAAGGTGAGAGTCATGAAAGTCAGATATAAAGTTTAACGTGAAAGCTGAAGCATAAAATAAAAACTCATCTCAATGTGGCTTTACATAGAAACATTGTGTCCCCTACTGGACAGTGTAACAATAGGACATTTTCAATTTCAATTATTTCAGTTTTTAAATATCTGAAATCTTTTCTGCCTTCTGCCTCTGATGATCCAATCAGATTCCAGCTGATTTGTTCCTGCTCTTGCTAACAATGGCACAGTTACTCGAGTCCTGATTGGTTGGTTCATGTGAAACGCAGCTTACGAGTCAAATACACAAGCCTGTGCCTTTTACTGTTTTCTAGGGGCAATTTGTCATTTTGTGTTATTAGTGAAACAACTGTAATTTTCACAGCTCTAAAACATACTGTGGGCTATTAAGCAGAAGGTAGCGAATGCCTCTGGGGCACATTGTCGAATGTTTGTGAAAGTAGATTTGGAACACTTAGAATCTGGACACACAATAAAATGGTGGGCATTTTACTGTGTACGTACTACACACAAAGCAGCTGTTACATCCATCATTTGGTGAGATCGGTTAGAAAAACAACACTGACAAGCAACATTTCTCACAGTTGTTTTGTGTTTCTGTATGAATTCAGTGTTTTAGTTCATTGCTACCATCTGCTTTAAGCCAAAGTGTTACAATACAATATTATTGATTATATTAACTATCTGTAATTTGCAGCTGGGTTAACTGTTACATATACAGTGGCTTGCAAAAGTATTCGGCCCCCTTGAACTTTCCCACATTTTGTCACATTACAGCCACAAACATGAATCAATTTTATTGGAATTCCACGTTAAAGACCAATAATGTGCAATAATAACAGTGTGCAATACACATACACTTCTTCTTCTTTTTTTATTACTAAGTTAATATACTGTGTTGTGTTGTTTGTGTTGCGTTGTGATGTGTCATATCGTGTCGAGTTGTGTTATATGTAGTGCCGACGTAGGGCAGTTTTCCAATCTCATTGTACTATTGTACTATGTATGACTGTGCAATGACAATAAAGAGTTATCTTAT